AAGGGTCTGCATGTGCAACACACTTTTTTTTTAATCAAAAGAAAATCTTTTATCTCCCTCATCATCTCTTGAAGTCTACAAGCTGCTGCTACCTTCTCCTTCAAGTACTGCTTCTATAGCACTACACACAAGCCTTTCTTTTCTCTGGCACTTGCTGGTCCTGTTAATATGTTCCCATAATCAATACAGTGAAGAAGTGGCAAGTATGAATGCAGTGAGCCTGAGGAGATCACTCAAGCATTAAGACAGTTTTGGAAGGTGTATGGAAGTGGTGCCTGATCTGCCTGAACCAACCACATGAGAGGATATGGATTAGCTATAGGTCTTGGGGACAGGCACTACCCAGTTCTTTTTATCTGCTCCATAGAACTGCTGGCAATTATTGTGGTCTCTCCCAGATCCCTACTCTTTTCATTCTCACTCCAAGAGCCAGGTCACTAAGTGTCTCAAACACATATACATTCATGCTGACCTAGATCTCCTCATCCCTCCCATTCTGCAAGGGTCTTCATGGGTCTTAAAGCAGAAGTCACCAGCTCAAATGAGATGGTAACCAAGGGGCCATTTTGGCATTCTAACTAGGTCAGTCTTGCCTATGATCCTCACAGAAGGCTGAGGTTGCTGGGGACTTCTGGAGGTAATCTGGTCCAACATCCCCTGCTCGAGCAGGGCCACCTGGAGCTGGCTGCCTAGGATATTGAATATCAGCTGGCTGTTGAATATCTCCAAGGAGGGAAACTCTACAGCCTCTCTGGGCAACTTGGGCCAGTGCTTCATCACTCTCACAGAGACAAAGTGTTTCTTGATGTTCAGAGGGAACCTCCTGTACTTCAGTATGTGCCCATTGCTTCTGGGCCTGTCACTGGCTGCCACTGAAGAGAGAACCTGGCTCTGTTCTCTGTGTAATCTCCCATTTTATACTTGCATTCATTAATAAAATTCCCCCTGAGCCTTTTCTTTTCCAGGCTGAATAGTCACAGCTGTCTCAGCTTTTCTTCATAGGAGAGATGCTTCATTCCCTTCATCCTATTTGTGGCCGTTCATTACATTTTCTCCAGTATTTCCATGTTCCTCTTGTACTGAGGAGCCCAGATCTGGACACAGCACTCCAGGTGTCACTGCACCAGAGGGGAAGGATCACCTCCCTCCGCTTGGTGGCAATGCTTTGACTAATGCAGCCCGGGATAGCGTTAGCCACTTTTGTGGCAAGGGCACATTTCTGGCTCATGTTCAACTTCGTGTCCACCAGTACCCCCAGGTCGTTTTCTGCAAAACTGCTTTCCAGCTCTGTGGCCCACAGCATGTACTGGTGCATGGAGTTGTTGCTTCCCAGGTGCAGGACTTTGTACTCCTTGTTGAACTTCCTGAGGCTCCTGTCAGCCCACTTCTCCAGCCTGTCCAGGTTCCTCTGGATGGCAGTATGACCCTCTGCGGTGTCAGCCATTCTTCCCAGTTTGTTTCACCATATGGTCTCCTGGGTACTCCTCAGCTTATCCAGAGAAGATAAAAGAAGATGACAGATGTCCATGTCCTTGAAATGGTGTTCTCTGGCATACATGCAGTTTTGCAGCTGCTTTAATCAGTAATTATCCTTCCCCATCTTACAGCTCTGTAAACCCTGACTGTGTTCCCTCAAACAGAGAAAGAAATTGGGTCCTTTTTTACTATGCTCTTTTTTTGCATCTGGTTTCTTTAAAATGCATAGAAGACTTCTAGTTACAGAAACATGGACAGGAACATATAGATGCCACTATGTAAATGTGTTCTCTGAGACATGCAGATGTAGCTTCTAAAAGCTTAAAAGACAGTATTAGGGCATCTGCTAAATCTTTGCAACTTCAGTATGTGTAAGATTCCAAGAATAACTGTAGTGATGGTGAAAATTAGTAAATCATATAATTACTGCTATATATTTGCTATATGTCACCCTGCTTAATTCAGTCTAAAACACAAATACTTCTGCTAAGCCCAGCTAGAGGGACAGATGTGTAATATTTTTCTCAGGATAATGTTTTGAAGAGGGGCTGTGTGTTTGAGAAATGAAAATCAATATTATTAGTTTAAGCTCTGCTACCTGGCTTTAAACTGCCAACATTTACTGAGAAAATAGAAGTATATGTGGTGGCCCCAGCTTTTTTCCTGCTTTTCCTCATCCAAAGGGAGAAACACAGTCATTACAAGCAGTTTACACACATCCCCAGATGCGGCATCATCTTGCCAGGAAACAAAAACTTCACATGAATTATAACTGATCCCAGAGTTCAGATCATAAAATCTGAAGTACTTTAAGGCTACTACTCCAACAGCAATAGGAAGAGGAAGGAAGCAATGTGAGGAATAACTCTCCAAATGTGACTCTGGGGGAGCTGCTCACTCAGGCATCCTGAAAGGTAGCTTTTTTTGTTGTTAGCAGTGGGACTGCTTATAAATTAAGGTGAAACACCTTAGGTGCTCACCTAAGGTGAAACATCATAGGGAAACTAGTTGTTTTAAGGGGCATGAGGATAAATTAATCTAGTTTATAAGTTCTTAATTATTAATGATTTTCTCAGCTCAAATAATGGTTTTTATTAGTGCCTTTTGTTAAATCTGCTAGAATAATGAGATGATGAGTGCAACACAGAGAGAAAGCAATACGTCTGGTTTTGTTTGTAAAATAAGTGCTTTCCAAAGCTCTGTATGTGAATCCTGGAAAAGAATGAGTTTGATTTCCCCTGGAGAAATGGGCTAAAGCATTTTTGTCAATAGGCATCCTTTTCAAATAAAACCCTCGTTCATTCTGGCCCAAATGAATGGATTCAGAGCCATGCACACTGGCAGCAATAATCCTATCAGCTTTATTCTCATATTAAACTCATACTTGAGGAGCTGTAGATGATGAATGTCAGATTTCTCCAACCTTTGATGCAGTTTTTAGATTCTGAGTAGACGAAAGCAAAAGCTACTTACTGAAGGAAGCTGATCAAGAGTCTGTCGAGAAGGGTCTGAGGCTTGGGGTCACATAGTTACACTTTTAAAAAAATATATCTATGTATAAAGGCATTGTATCAACTAATCTATAGGTAACATAATGGTCTTTGTTTACGTCAGTTTAAATCAGATATTTTAACCTTCTCTCTGTCTTTCCTTTTACATATGTATATGTACTACAGTATATATCAGTAGTTCAGAAATCGTCTAAGAGAACTTAGGTTGAGTCCATTAAATAAACCAAGGAGGAATCTGGTTGTCCAAATCCAGGACAACAAAGACATAGAAGTAAACTTCAGTTTTAAGCCGAAACTTTAGAAAAACAGTATTGTTCTCCAGTCTGGTATGCACAGATCTCAGTGAGGGGTGGGAGGGAGGCAATTTCTGTGCCTTGAATGTTTATTCAATATCTTGAACTTTTGAACAAGAAGATGGGCCTTTCCAAGGTGTAAGCATGATTGTTTTACACAGTGGTTTTGAGCTCAGTGTTTACTTTTATGGACAGAGCATCAGAATGAATATCCAATGGTCAAAGGCCTGTGGTCTGAGTAGGAACTGGCATGGGAAGCACAGCAATTCTGAGGAGTCAGAAAAGCGAGTAAGGGGCAATTCTGTCAAAAAGGGCTCAAGCACAGTTAAGAAACAGAGGCTTTCCAAAGATTAATTTGCATCCTGTTTCATGTGGGTTTTGGAACAGCACTACTAGTCTGTATACAGCTTTCCTAGCTCAGCTGGCATAATTACTCTCTCTTGAGCATAACTAGGTTATGAAAACAGAGGTAAGGTGTTGGGTTTTTCCATTCACCAGGAGAAGCAGAAAGAAAAGACACATTGAGAACAAATGGTTACGTTGATGACCTGCTCAGCACCATGTCTGTTTTCCCTTCCCCATACAAGCCACAAACTATCCCAAACCTTTACAATGTCTGCTCAGCTGAGCTGTCTACCACAGAATTCTTCGGAACTGAATGTTGCAATTTATTATTACGGAATGAACTTTCCAGCCTTGCCTGGCCATAGAACATGGCTGGATCTCAAGCAGCTTACCTAGAGATGTTACTTCCCTCCTTAGCTCTCTTTATTTGTGTAGAGCTATTAATTGTTCCTGATTTACTGGACCCAGCATTTAGGAAGCATGAACCTTAAATTCACTACAATGAATGGTGAAAAATATTGGTAGGTTTTAGATTGCCAATTAAGTCTAAATTAAATAATCTTACAATATTCACTATCTAATATGGCTTGTTCAAAACCACATTAAACTAAATGCAACAACATCATTGCAGCATGATCATGGAAAGAATCGTATTATTTGTTTCAGTTTTGAGGAAGTTAAACTCAACTGGAGAAGAAAAAATTCCTCAGCCATAAGAACCAGCTGTAGCACTAAAACACAGACAATAAAATTTATTCCCAATTAAAAATTTTTAAAAAGCATTTATATGTGAGGAGATGTTGCTTTGTAGTTTAGGGTGGCAGAGGTGTAGATCTGGGAAGACTGATCCTTATTTGTTCATAAGAAAGTCCTCTGAAACTGTCCCCTTAGAACCTGAAATGAGTAGGTGCTTCTCATCAGCTTCTGGGCATCAATCTTAATATCTTCCCTTTTAGACCACTCAGTCCAAGCTATGATGCTGTCTCACAAATCCAGCCACCAGAGACACAAACCCAATGTGTCTCTACTCATTTGCACCCTAATATCATAGAAACTGGCTCCTCCCCAGGGTTTTGGAAGATACAATGTTTAGCTGTATTACACATTAAAATGGCAAACATTGCAGTTCACTCAATAGAAAGTACATACAAACAACTTCACTCGGAGCACGAGGTTCAGGTAACCCCAGGCTGGCCCCAAGCACTGAAGAAAGCTGAAGCACTCTGAATTGCCTAAACCTATGTCTTGAAACCTGGTAGCAACCGCATTCTCTCTACACAGTAGATGTAAAGATTCTGCAAAGAGAGTAAATGTTTCCTAGTGTATTACAGGCAGCAGGTGAGCAAAGCTCAGAACCAGGCACACCTGCAGATGCTGCTCTTGCCAATCCAATAGAAGTCTTTCCTATGCCCAACAAGGAAAATGTTGCAAGGGAAAAGAAATCACCACCAAAAAAAATCTAACAGGGAAGTTTCCTCTATGCTGACATAGCCCTAAGAAAAACCAAATGTAGGGAGCCTTCAGATTAAATTTCACACTTGAGTGCTCAGGCTTGGCACAGGTATTCATGGCACTTGGACATCATTAAAAAATTATTTAAAAAAGAAAAAGAAAAAAAAAGGATTTCCTGTCACTGAAATAATTCTAATGTTTGAGGAACTCCTAAAAAGCAGTGATGTGTAAGTATCCTGGGCTAAACTGGTGAAATGCTACATTCGGGGATTAACCATGGCTGCGGCTCAGTAAAAATGAGCAAAAAAACTGCTGCATCTTTGTTCCTGCTGGGCATTTTACAACAGGATCTCTCTCATTCGGTCTTCTCAGTGTGACTAGAGACAGAAATGGAGCAGTATCAGGACAATACTAACACAACTGTTGGCTACTGTTTTGTGGTTTTCTCCCTCACCACGTTTTAGCAGTGTGTGGCTGTTTCAATTATTTCCTGATCTGAGTCCTCTCTGTGTGTAGAGATGTTGCTAATGGCTAATTCTATTAATGAAGTTCTAGCAAGGAATGCGTTTCAGCATCAAATACACTGTATATCCTGCATTCATTCTTCATCAGGAAGCTCAGCTACTAAGGAAGTGTGCTGATACATCTCTTTTATTTTTTAATGTCTGGCACCTCACAAAAAAACTCAAACAAAACCAAAACCATATATATATATATATATATATATGACTGCTATTTCAAATGAAAAGGTGGTGTCTGATTCTACCTGGCAATCACACACAAAAGGATGCCCTGTGTTTCAGTGCTGGAAACCACACAAACACACTTTCCTGCTGTCAGTTTCTCTTGCCTGTTATGGTAAGGAACTGGAGGTAATGTGGAAGCCACAGGTCCTGCCTCTTTCCAGAAGATTTTCTTAAATTAGCTCAAATAACCATCAGAAGAGTGGAAACAAGCCTCTGATAACATGTCATGCCTTCAAATTTTAATTTTAGGTCCTGACAACATTCATGGCAATTTTTAGCTCTGAAACTTTGGGTTCGGCTATTTTTCAAAGTGGGTGCACTTTATCCACAGACATTCATGAATAGGTGGTGATACGTTTACTGTATCAGATGGGACCATACAGCAGCTTAAAAAATCAGAGGACTCTTCCAACACCAGTGGAAGCTGGTATAGACGATGACATTGTGTGCTATTGTTACCTAGTAAAATACTTAAATGCAAGTGAAAAAACAGTTGGGCATATACAAAAATGCACCCTGCATCCAGAGTAAAGATAAACATTTTGCTTGTACTGATCACAAAGAATGTTTCAGCAGAGTGCATTTATTTAGGCTATTGTATGGCTTAATAGGCAACCAGTC